TATGTCAAATCTTCATTATTCAATTAAAACTACAAAAAAAAAATAATTGAAGCTGTTGCAGCAGAGAGGTTTCTCCCCTACCTCTGCCACCTCCTATCCCCCTACCAACCTGCCCGCTCCCTTTGCTCAGTGGGCTCTGGCCTGCTTCATGTCCCCTACCTCGCCTGTCCCACCATTGGCGGGCGGGCCTTCATCCACTCAACCCCCACCCTCTGGAACTCCATTCCACAGTCCCCCCACCTCACACCCCTCCTTTGCCTTCTTCAATGCCCATCACAGGACCCTCCTCTTCGACCATGCCTTCAAACACTCTCACTCTCCCCCTTAGCCTACACCCTCCCCGATCCTGACCCCCAGCTCGGGTCCGAAACACTGTTTGTCCAGTCCGTTGGGCTGGTCAATTTAACCCATAGTCCAAGATGACATTCCAATGCAGTGCTGGTGGAGCGCTGCATTGTTGGAGGTGCTGTCCTTTGGATGAGATGTTAAACCGAGGTCCCATCTCCCTGTTCAGATGGACACTAAAGATCCCATGGCACTATTTGAAAAAAGAGGGTGTTTCTTTCAGTGCTTTGGCCAATAATTCCTAAAAAAAACTGGTCATTCGTTTCATGGCAGTTTATGAGATACTGCTCTTTATAATAAATTCTGTGAAGCGCTTTGAGATGTTCAGATGACGTTATAAGGGTCTACATCAAAATGTAAGGATTATTATCATATTTATAATTGGATATCCTTTCAACTGCAATGAAGATTGATATTATGGTGAAAATATCCTAGAAATTTAGGTATTTCAGAGCCTCATCTACACCTACACAGTACAGTTTATGTAGTGATAAATCAGCAGATAGATACTGACCTGAAAAGGTGAACTAAACCTTTCCTGTATTATTTTTGCAGATTCATATTCAATTGATCCTAAAGCAAGCAATATTATTTACTTCAAGCAATTTCAAACTGAATATGTTCAGAATTTGTCACAAGGTCCTTACACATATTAAATTAACTGGCCACCTCTTAAATCATCTGAACAGGAATAAAGCAATTATATAGTGAAGCATGTCTTAAAACCCTCGGTGACCCCATTAGTCCCCAAATCAGCCCTTGTAGATTGGCTTCACCCATTCATTTATAATGTATAAAGTATTATACCTCGGTAAAGCAGAGGCTATTATAGAACATATGTTACCTGGTGGTCAATTTAGATTGTCATTTAATGAACATGCAAGGAAGTTTCGCCCAGAAAATATAGTCAATCCACTTTACAGTTTATTCTGTGAAGTGCTTCACAGAATGGAATGCACATTCTCTCTTCAGGGGCATACCCTGCTTGCCTACTTTCTGAAAGTATGAAGTACAGATTGGCAACAGCTTTGGAGATCCCAGAGTATGTATTGGGATGCTGCTGAAGTTTAACTAGCTAAAACCGAATATTATTGCTATTATGAATACAGTCTGGAAAATTCCCTGCTACTTGTCCAACTAGGACCACTTTACCAGTTATGGCTTTGGCTTGCATGAGCCAAATGGGAAAAGTCCCTGCCCCCAGTGACTTGTCTATTCCTCCAGGTCCTGTCGACAAGGCGGGAAGGCTGGTCTATCATCAGCAGTCCTTTGGGGTACTGTGAATCTATCTGTTTCAGGATGACTGAGACTCCCACAGAGGATTGACTCAATTCCAATATTCAATTGCCAGGCACATAACCTTGGAATCTGTTCAAACCTGAAGAGACCCTGCTTACCTCTCCCCAAAGGAGGATAGTGCATTGTTATGAATGTCATCATCCATCAACAAACAGCACAGTCCATTACTTGACATCTACCACTAGCAAATGCAACATAGAACTACCGCACTGACTTGGCAGTTTATTAAAAATGGTTACATGGGGTGATATTATCAACAACAACTTGTATTTATCTAACGGCCTTCACACAGGGTAAAGTCTTGGGGTGCTTTTTAAGGCAGTACTGCAATATTGTTTTTTTACTGGACGATAAACTGCTTGTGCTTTGCTTCACCTACACCTTCAATAAGATATGATAATTCCTGCATATCATTAGGTCTCATATGATATTCTCCAAACTAAAATAGATAATTTCTGAGTAAGATTTTCTCTTCCCAATGGAAAACTCTCCAATTCCCCTGAGTTCATGCCATCTGATATGGAGGTTTGTTGGTGCCTCAGAGGTTATGACAACAATAAAGTTGTCTTTTCTTGAAACATGTACATAACCACAGAATTTTCCAGTAATATTTACAGAAGTTTACTGTGGTGGGAAGCTCAGCTGTGCTTAAACTAAAATGAAAGATTAATGAGCTGTTGAGCAGTGGTTTCCCAGCTATTGGCACCAAGTGATCCTTGGTGCAGTACCTGGGAGATAGTATCTTGCTGACTTTTTATTCAGTCTAATTCAGAAGTCGATTTTTTTTTAAGTGTGGAAATTGCTTTCAAAATAAGATTGGAACAAAAAAATTTCCAAAATTGTGTGACCTCAAATTTTCAGATAAAATCGTTTTACAGGTTAACATTCGATGAAATTTCATGCCTCTGGTGCTCTTGTCTTCTAAAGCAACATTTTCAAAAAGATACTACACATTGGGGTCCTAAAGGTAATAATATATAGGTCTAGGAAAAATAAGGGATTTTAGATTAGAGCCGATTGCTTCAGTGAAAAGAGCTACCTCAAGTTTAGGCTGTATGGGCTAGATGGCCTCCTCCTGTGTTAACTTCTAAACATGTCCATGATTGCATAACTACTTTAAATGGAGTGGGGGGGGGGCGTGCGGGAGTGTGAGAATAGGAAATGTGTGTTGAGCGCAAACGATGCCTGGAAACATTTTCAAGTAGAAACACATTCCTGGGCAGTTGCTATTCCCAGGACTTCACACCAACACCACCCAGCAACTTATCAGCAAATACTTTATTTTCAGTGCGCTCACATTTACATGAAACACTTACTGATTAATATTCTGAAAATCAGCGAACAGAATGACTTTGTTAACAAATGTAGTGGCACAAACACGATGAACTGAATGACCTTCTTCTGTGACAAGGCAGAGGGACTCCAGGAGGGAGTTCAAGAGAGCAGGGACAGAATACCTAAAAACATGCTCTCCGATGGCAACCTGGAGCCGGCAGGGTATGTGAAGCAGGATAATTTGGTTTTCGCCCTGCCCGCAGCAGAGAGACAGCGCTTGTCAAAGTCACAAAGGACGTTGTCTCTACTGTGACCAGGGCTCCCTCTGCATCCTCGTCCTGCTGGATCTCTCTGCCGCGTTTGACACAGTCGATCACGCCATCCTCCTCCACTGCCTGTCCTCCCTCAACCACCTCAGTGGGTCCGCACTCGCATGCTTCGAGTGCTACTTAACCAACTGCCTCCACTTCATCTAGGCAAATGGTTTCACTTTCCGGCCCTGCCCAGTCACCTGCGGGGTACCCCAGGGCTCCATCATTGGCCCTCTTCTTTCCTCATCTATATGCTCCCTCTGGGTGATGTCATCCGCAGACACGGGGTAAACTTCCACATGTATGCGGATGACAAACAAATCTACTTTGCCTCCTCCAGTACCAATTCCAGGTCCGTCGATGTTCTATCAGCTTGTCTGGCAGACATCAGGGCCTGGATGAGAGCAAACTTCCTGCAGCTGAATGTGGATAAGACAGAAGCCATACTAGTTGGGTCCCGTTAACCTTTTCACTCCTGCGGATCTGAACTCCTCAACCTCCCTGAGCTCTCCCTCACTCACCGAACCAGTGCAATCTATGCATTCAGTTTGATCCCCAGCTGTCCTTCCTTTCCCACATGCAGTTCCTGACCAGGACCAGCTTCCTCCACCTCCGTCACATTGCCCGCCTCTGGCCTCTGACCATGCCTTACCCCAAATGCAGCTGAAACCTCCGTGCATGCGTTTGAACTTCCTGTCTGGATTACTCAAATGCACTCCTTGCCAGTCTCCCCAGCTCCACTCTTCAAAAAATCCAGCTAATTCAGAACTGCTGCTCGCGTACTTACCCAGACCAAACTCTGTACCCCAATCTCACCAGTTCCTGCCAGGCTCCACTGGCTCCCCAACACCGAACGGATCGACTGCAAGATCCTCACACTTGTGTTCAAATCCCTTTCCTGCCACCTCCCTACCTCTCCGACTTCCTCACTCCCCAATCCACCGCCTGGCGCCTCCGCTCGACTGGCACCGGACTTTTTAGAAAGAAATGCTTGATCAAAGCAAATGCTCATGGATTTTTTACTGTTTGCTGCTTTGAAACTTGTTTTTCTTATATATGCATTTTTTTTTGCAGAAAAGATCTTGTGCTATTCCTGCAAATCAAATTATATCATTGATTATAAATTGTTGTTTATTTGTCAAGGGAGTTTTTTTTAAGCAGAGGTATAATAAAGGGCAGCAATTTTTTTCTGGTACACTTTAAGTGGCCAATAGGATCAGACTTTTAAGTAGTATGACGAAATACATTTCACTGCCATACAATGGAGTATAAAGAAAACACCTCTCATATCTGTGTACGATAACATGGAGCAACTTGATGTGTGAGTGCTGAAACCATGTCCTGTCTGACTTCTATCTTAAATGCCTTGTCCATTTCAGTATCACTAAAAATGGTCCTACAGAGAGAACTTGAGCCTGTACAAATGATAAGAGTTCTATTAAAAGAGAAGTAACTGTATGGAAGCTACCATACTGATTATTATTTAAGATATCTGAATATTTAATCCTTCAGTATAAAGACTTGTGCAACATTCTTAAAAATTCTGATTCAGTTGCGATAGTTTTTGAAACTCCTGTTTCAAATATCATTTTATTACGTCCAACATGTCAATATAGTCGCCCTGATTGTTATTTCTATTTTATTTTCAACTGAATTATCTTGAATAATTTTAGATGAAATAGACAAATGTGATTATTTCCCTCAGAGTAATATTAATCCAATTTATCTACTGTATATATTTCAATGAAATATGGAAGAATGCCATCTTACCTCAATTACCCTGGAGTCAAATTCTTCATAGGTTTCTGTAAATAAAATGAAATGAATTTTCATTTGGACAAATGTCTTGATAATTCAATCAAAACATACCATTTTAGATTAATACCAATTTCAGAAAAGAAGTGTAATTAACAATTAGATCATTGGCAGTTCCTGGGAATTCCAGTCTCCAGAGAATGGTTGTTTTATATTTCCAGCTCACATGCTATAATGCTGAAAACCCCTAATATTACTGTAAGAAACACATTTGATGTGAGAGATGCATTATTGCTTTGTTATTATCCTATACAAAATACTTTAAAACATTTTATACACAATGTTTAAAAAAAAACTTCTACTCTTTTGATTTTTTCATCATTCTTTCACTTCTATTTTAATCATTCCTACCAAAATATATTCCATTCTACACCTTTTTTTATTAAAATAAGTATTAAATATTTTTAGTTACTTTTTTCTGTGCCTGTTATAATCTTTTTTGGAGGTGGAACACACAAATACGAGATTGGCCTTTGATTGCTTTAAAAACCTGCTGAAATTAGTATGGAGTCCAGTAGCTCAGTGGTTAGAGCACTCGCTTTGCAAGTGAGAGACCTGAGTTCAATTCCAGGCAGAGGGCGAAACCTTGGGCAAGTTTCCTTACTCCACACAGAGCCTAATAATAATCCCTCCAAAACAAAACAATAATAAATTGGTCATTTTCAATCTACAACTGTTTGTGGGACACTGCTGTGCGCAATTGGTTGCCGCGTTCGCCCACAAATATAGTCAATTCACTTTACAGTATATTCTGTGAAGCGCTTTGGGACGTCTAGAAGACATGAAAAGCATTATATCAAATGCAAGGATTATTATTATTATAATTAAGACCTAGAATTATGATATGACCATAACAAAGTGCCTAGGTCAACTTTGAATGCTACTGTATTTTTCAGCATTGAGCTGAGTGAACATTCATACGCTCCATAATGTAACATCTTGCAAAGCTATGTGAAAAAAACATACTGTACAGACTACACAACAGGCAACTGCTGCATCCATCCACTTGTATCATTGATAACAGTTGCCCACAAAGGCTCACATTGTACTATGTATATTATACACCATCGAATAATATATGAATACTTGACAGGGTTTTGCAACTGAAAAATAATTGCAAAATAACAAGTGCTACCAAAGAATGAGTTATCACGTCTAGTACCAGCCGCTTATTTGCTCCTGAATGAGATAAGTGTTTTCTGCCCCCCACCCACCCTGTCCCCATAAGAATTAAGAATCAATTGTCAGTTTTCTTAGTAGTCCTAAAGGGAAGATCACTACTTCAGCTGTAATTCTTTTATATCTCAAGGAGAAATTATCCATTTTGAGGACTGTTTTGTTACCTAATATTGTCACGAACGCTAAAGTGAAATGAGTTTGCACAGTCTCAACACAGTTCCTTGGGAAATGAGTCCCTAGCATGCAATGCTCACCTTTACCAATAATTTGTACTCGCTCAGAGAGGCTGTAGGAATGGTGATGTGGGAACTTACAGTCATATTAACGTTGCTTGATACTGGGGAGTTAAGACCAATTACCAGGGCAGGAAACAGGGAGATTTACCCTTTCTCTGTTCTATGTGGTACCTGAATCAAGAATAATTTATCTTAACACCTGATTCAAACAGTTTTCATTCCTCATTTTTAAATTCTGCTTCAGATGAATTAAATTTCATCCCTGTTATCGAATTGAAATCATGTTTATTACTTATAAGATGAACAAGTTCCTTCTAGAGTTGGCAAATATATTCTGCAATGAAAGCAGGAACATGCATACTGCAGTTGGTGAATATTTATACACCTGAAGACATTAATTTTACCACTAGATTGTTTTATTGAATTTTATATATTTAAGAGACTTCTGGATCCATCGTCACATCGTTTATCATGAATTATTTACGACAACTGGATTCCTATGATCAATATTCTATTGTCAGTGGACTTTCTTTGTAGTATAATGGCATCAGATCATTAGATGTAATTAATCTAGAACTATCAAAATAACAGTTAGATTGCCAAACTATTGATCAAAGGTTCTGAATCTATCGTATTCTTTGTGCACCAATCTGTATCAGCAAACAACAATCAATAAATGCCAATACCATCATGAAATTATGGTACAACATTGATTGGAGAAGAAACATCAGGATACTTGATAGTTACGACATTGTAAAGAAGGTAACCCTAAAATCAGAATGTAAACATTGACTTGCTCTTTGCTTTTGTGACTCTATGCTATATAATTTACATAAACAAATTCCACTAGTTTTGTTATCCCAATAGAGACATAACACTGCAGCTGTAGCTGCATTGAAACTCCTACACTAACTGTACATTGTACTATAAATTATCCAAATAAGGGCCATATTATTGCTGGTGGGTGGACATGAGTGATTAAGGATTTTAGTTATTTTTCTCATAGACAGTGACTCAACTAGTAACTAAATTATCTCATCATTCATAGAGATTTAAGTTAAGAGTGGACATTAGGCTTACACCAAGATTTAATCTATATCTACAGACAGGGAAAAAAAATCGCTCTACACAGAAGTAGCAGAGATATCAAAATAACTACTGGAGAGATATTCTTTGAACAGTGCATTATATTTGATTTATTACAGACCCAACAAAATACCGTACAATTTTAAAGGTCTGCACTCTAAAATGTCAATCACGAGGAGCCATCCTGAATTGCTTTTTTCATTACAAGAATAGAAAGTTGTTGTAAGTTTCCAAAAATCTCTTTTGTTTTGCACTATTCTGTAACTCCCTACCAAACAGCTGGAAAATAATTGTGAAAAACATATAAGTGAAGCATTAAAGTTTCTCCACGACAGTATGCAAATTGAATATGGAAACTGCTCAACTAGGGACCTCAGAGATGGACCAATTTTCTTTAACTTGATTTAATTGATAAAACGACTGAAACATAGTAATTTACTACTGCAATACAACTTCAACATACCACTTATTTTGTTTTTTAATTTGAAATCATTGCACTCATGTGTACAATTTTTTTAAAGTTCTGCTCCCATCATTCCAGGCTAATTTGGGTCAAGTAACATGCTCCCAAGAGTCTGCCAATTTTCCATTACTCCCTGTGAGAAACTGGTGTATCTTGAAATCACACCTGAGAATTTACAATGTGGGAAGCCATAAACATAAACCTGGAATCCAAATACAAAATTGAGACACGCTTTGTAAAATGAAAAACATACCCTTATTTAGCTATATACTGCAGCACAGACTGATTAGAATCTGGTTCATTTCCCAGCCACCAAGTGCACTCTGGTACCTTGTGCAAGTTGCTATTCATCATGTCTAGACCTTTTTGGTTGGCCAACAAAATACATTTTCTTGATTGAATATTTCTTGATTATGTCATAAACCAAATCATTTGTCATAAACAAATTGGAAACGCTATTGATTGAATACGGACTTACCTAGACTAGTGAGAATGTTCGGCAGACCACTTGCGGTCCAGGGGCTATGGGTTGGCCACCACTGGTCTAGACAGTGGTGGCCGCAGACTATTTGATTACAAGAGTCACTGTAGTCAAGTAAGCCCAAGTAAGGTGATAGATTTTGAGTCTATTGTGAGTTTCAAGAGAGAAGTAGACAGGTCTATGAAAGTTGGAAGCTTGAAGGGGTATGGGGATAGGACAGGGCAATAGAATTGAAAGAACAACTTGCTTTGTAGACTTGATGGGTCAAATGCTCCCCTTCTGCACTGTATGATATGAATTTCCTTGATGCTTTGAATTCTGACCTCCTATGGGGTCCACATTTGAGTACTTTCCACTTTCAATTTGCATACCCTTGAGAAATAAGCTTTAATGTTCCATATACATCTTTTTATTATTGTAGTATTTATAAAATTATTTTTAAAATTAATTATTATTTTTGGAAGGGAGTTACAGAATAGTACAAAGGGTGAAAAATGATTTATTTTAGATGTAAAAACATGGGACTCATTAAAATTGTTCACATTACTTTTTTTTGAAAAAGGGATTATTAAGTACTTTCTCTTTTAATTTGTTTTTATCCACTGAAAACAATCCAAATATTCAGAATCGCAGAGCAGCTCGTTGTTGACATGTTTTGAGTTGCTCATCCAAACTGGAGCCAGTTTGTTGCCAATTAGTCAGTCCTGTCAGTGAGTGGTCCCAGATCCTGATGATCCAACTCTATTAAAAAGGACAGTGAGCCATGCAGAATGGTAGGGATGCATCATAAGTAAGTGCTGAGTTAATTGATCTCAGATTGGGCAGCAGAAGGAATTTAGGGTTCCTGCTCCTTATCACAATCCAGTGACCCCTGTTGAAAGATGCAATGTGCTGGGTTCAGCTTTGATGCACCACTTGGATGAACGGTCTTTTCATTACAAAACTCACATACGAATACTCATTTCCACAGACAGCTGAATAAACAACATAAATTTCACTTGACTTTCCATACTACTGTAGAAAATATCAGTTAGTGCAGGTAACAATGTGTTATTTGTACAGATTCCATTTCCAATGTCAGTTATTATAACTAAAAATGTAGATTATGATTGAAATAGTAATGCAGTTTTTAAACCCTTTTTTAAAAGTCATCAATTTTTATATTAATAATAATCCTTCCATTTGGTATAGCGCCTTATCACGTTGGAAGGATGTCTCAAAGAGCTTCACAGGATTTACTGTAAAGAGAATTGACTGTATTTTTGTAGGCAAACTTAACTTGGAATGAAAAATAAAGCAGTGCAATCACAATTCCTTTCAGAATTGCAATGTTCCTATTAAGCCGAGAAATAAATCTGGACTCACTGGTTTGTATTTTTTGGACATATAGTGACTTGCAGTTTAGTTACCTGAAGATTTGTTAAAAGAGGAATATGTAAACTGCCATCTTCACTGATGGTCAGTTATTACTTACAAATAATGGCATTTACAGATTAGTGAAATATATTTTGTAAATGCAATGAACAGGAGGAACAGCTTCTTAATCGTTGAATTGGAAATCAGTTGCCTCCGGCTAATCAAACAGTTTATATTACTCACTAGATTGCCAAAATAGTAGCTATTTATTTATTCATGCAACTGGGCAGCAACAAATGTTTTTCTGGCTACATATATAGTACATTACATAATCCACTTGCTGTAAAGGCATTTCAACAAAAGATAAAAAAGTAACAACTGAATATAGATCAAGTCAATCAAAGTGGTATTCACACAGCTCACTGCCCATCACTGCTTCTGAATCAATTTACTTACACGTCTTTCCCCACAAAAAAATCTGTATGAATTCATATGTCTTAGCTGAACTGTAATGTGTCAGTTATAAAACAAAATATTGACTGGAATAAAACTCGACAATACACTAAAAATACTTTTAAGCTATAATTAGGCTTTAGTTAGCTTGGATGAGCTGACAGTCATGAACCCACCTTGTTTTTACAATTCTACTCTTTTACAATGGGATTAGACCAGGGGGTTTCAAGCTGGGGATGAGGGGGTGCAAACAGGTTTTCTTGCTTTTCAGTATTTTAGTGTGATTACAGACCCGGCCTTGGGAGAGAGAAAATACTGGTTCATCCTGTTTCCTCTAACTGAAATATCAGTCGCTAACCAGCCATGGAGAGACAAGCCCATACTTCCCAAGGAGCGCACAAACATAGTATGTTCTAAAAAGACGGTAACATGCATGGGACATTAAGCTCCGAAGGGGAGCGCTGCGCAAAAAAGTTTGAAAGCTGCTGGTTTAGACTAAATGGCAGTCTTTTTGATGGTAAACTCAAAGTCATGAAAAAGCCATTTTTAGCTGTACCTGATTTGGTGCTGGTGCTTTCCCTGTCTTTACCCTCTAGCACCATTGGTCCAAACTGATCAATATTGGTGATAGTAGAAAGGATGTAACAATGTTATATATGATATCCCTGATTCTGCACAGGCACAAAAACTAGCCTAAATGGGACCGCAGTTTTTAAAATAAAAAGCAAAAATTGCATGATTAGTGATGTTCAGCATCCCATTTTTTGGTAAGCATGTTCCAAAGATTGCCCTCCCTCTTGTAACCCTCTGTTGGAGAATATTAAAACACTAATAAAAATCCTTGAAGTCGATATAGCTCCTTACCATATCATCAAAATGTCTCAATGTAAAGTGTAGGGATTGTGTATTTGTAGGCAAATGTAGCAGCCAAATTGTTCATAGATTGTACTGTTGTCCCACCAACAGCCATAAAGTGAATGATCATTTTGATTTACCCTGGGGGTGGAGATTGTGTTTGGCTTTTTATTGAGAAATTCTTGACAGCACCAAAGTAACAAATCATTTCAATGAAAATATAAATACATATGTTAATATTCCAACTGTCAACTTGATTTATTAAAAATCAAACAAAATGACCTAACTTCAAACCCAGAAGCTTGTGATCAAAATCATACTTGACAGATATTGTACTTATATCAGTTTCACTCTCAGGTTTTGGGCTATTCCAGAGGGTGCTTTTCTACTCTGGGATGGGTGCACTTAAAGAACCAGTGCAGAAGCATGCCTCGAGTCAGTCAATTACACAGCAGTAGCGGAGACATCTGTGGCTTAAGACTATTCAGCCCCATCATTTTTGGCAATATTTTACATTCTTTTTCAGCCAAAGTTTCCAAAATACTTTCTCTTACCTCCATTTGGCCCAGGTTCAGGAGAACCTAAGCTGATTCCTCCCCAAGAGTTGCCAGTCCAGCCTCTTTCTCTTTTGATTTTCATTGCCCTCCTCTTTTCCCATTCTTCCCTTTGTCGAAACACTTCAGCCTGCAGCTCTTCCTGCTGCGCTTGTTCTCGCTTTCCTATTGACTGAATGGTTCCATCTTTCACAACCGGAGCATTTAAACCAGGCCAGAGGAACCCAGCTCGTCCTTAAAAAACAGGGATTGTATTAGATTGATGAGTAAGCCATTAAAATCTCTAAATCAACAAGGCCATTGTGACACAAAATCTTGAAGATTAGTACTTTCACACTACATTTCCACCATCAGTTTTCCATCATAATAAAGGTGGAAAGTAATACAAATTATTTTGATGGGTGAGATTCTCAAGTAATGTCCAAATCCCTAGCTCTCTCTCTCGCTCACACTTCAGGCTCATAAATACTTAATTACCTTCCTTATTCTCCACATTATCTATCTATATATATATATATTCTTATTCCCATTTTCTTCTTCTGTCTTTCTTTTTAATAAATCTCATCCCTCATTCAAGATGATCTCATCTATTAGTAGAAATTTTCCTAAAAGAGCTCCTTCTGTCTAATATCTAGTAAACATAGATACTGATATACATTAAGAGAGAAAAAAAATTAAAGTTGCTTGGTATGAACCCCCAAAAATCCATGTAATTGGTGAACCTACAGATCAGTCAGGAACTGCTATTTCTGGGTGGGCTGAAAGCTTGATCCCTGATGGAGGGACCAGAGATATGAAATTAGTCAGTTCCAATTAGTCAAGGAGTGGATGTCGCAGACGTAGGATGGGGTAAGACAGTAGAGAGAATTAAAAGTGAGGACGCCAATTTGAATGGGAATAACTTTCTAAATTATTTTCAGACACATTTAAGACACTGGCTGGAGGCCACATGATGGCACAGCACCCTGGTGCTTCAATAGTCCCACTAGAGTGGAGGCATATGAGTTGCCATTTCTGATTTTCCTCATAGGAACTTCCGAAGCTCAAGGGAGGGATAACATACAGCGCTGATGTCTCTATAAAGAGGTTGGAGAAGAAACCAACCCATCCAGGGTGAAGGGGAGAGAGAGAAAGAGGTGGGGGAGGAGACTGAGACAGAGTGACTCTGCTGGTTGAAGTCCAGCAGAGAGAAGTGGTAGGTTGCTCGCATACCTCTTAGTATAAGAATGGTGCATATCCGGGGGGGAAAAATAGAAAAAATTAAAATTAGGAAGAGAAAATCAAAGAATTGAAGGCCTGTCTGTAATGACATTTGAAAGTTTTGAACATAAGGACATAAGAATTAGGAGCAGGAGTAGGCCATTCGGCCCCTCGAGTCTGCCCCGCCATTTGATAAGATCACGGCTGATCTTCAGACCCAACTCTAATTACCTGCCCTATCCCCATATCCCCTAATACCTCTATTTTTTAAAAAATCTATCAGTCTCAGCCTTGAAGACGTTCAAGGACCGAGCATCTACAGCCTTCTGGGGTAGTGAATTCCATAAATTCAAAACATTGTTACTTACCCTCACCAACCAACTGTCCTCTATTCAAATCTTTCTTTACTTTTCTCTTGGTTCTCTTGCCCCTGCCCTTTCGTGCTCCAGCCCCAGTTTCTGCCAGCACACCTCGCCATAATTCATCTGCTGTCACTGCAGAAAGACATATTTTCTGCATGAGGAAGCCACTCAGCATTTGAGATTAGCATACTATTTGTTTGTAGACTTGGTTCAACATCTTACAAATACACATTACTTCGACCTCAAGATCTTACGCCTTTTGTTTTATATTGTAGGAATTTCTGTTTGGTATAAAAATGAACATGTAAATCAATGTTGTAAATAATAACATAGAATTGTAAATGGTCAGAAATGGCCATTGTAGTCTATCTTCCTCGTCCCACAGTAAAATATACCAATAATATTTACAATAACCCCTCAATTGATTTCTTCTGAAAATATCTCTCTACTTTCCTCTTGAATTTCTTGATATATCCAGATCTACCACCTCCCCGGGTTGTCCAACAACAACAAAAACAACTTGCACTTTTGTAGATCCCTCCACGCAGGATAGCGTCTCAGAGCGCTGTCCATTCCACCCATTTATTGTTTTCCATGTAAAATAATTCAAAACTTTCCCTCTACTGAGGGAAAGCCTTGTCCCTTGATGTAGCGCTTGTGACTAGTTAAGCAGTACTAAGGTTCAGTTTATTATTATACCCTTTAGGATCATTAATATTTCTCCCTGAACCTTCTTTTTTCCAGTGTGAACTCCCCATCCCTCCCACCTCTGTAGTCCTTGAAGCTTACGTGCCTAACTCAGCTAACAATTTAATTCTCCTTTTTATCTCCATTATAAAGGTGTCTAATATAAAATGCTGAATAAGTTCATAATCACTTCATGCAACTTATTCAAGAAATCCAATTTGCTCTCTTCAGTGAGGCTCACACTGCGCTGATTGTTCCATCGGGATCCAAGAAATTCAATTTATATGTTTTAGCAGATGAAAGCCAATGACAACAGATTGTATGCCAAGTAGTGAAGAATAAAATTTTTAGGCCAACATAGCTGTGGCCTGTTTCTTTATAGTCAGAATAATAGGAAACAAAACCAGTGAAAGTTTAATGGGTTTTTTTCAGTATCACTCTGGAAATGAAGCAACATAATTTTGTCCTTTGCTATAAACAGTCTGCATGATATCCCCAAAAATGTGCAATGTAGCATGTCAGACAAAAAGCTTTGAAATGGCAGTTCTTATTGTTAACCTCTTCATCAACATAAGGTATAATTCTATTGAAGCACTCAATACACTACTAATTTCCCATTATGTCAAACTCACAGAAGCTTGCGTGACTGTTACTGACAAATTTTGCAATTTTCTTGAAAATCCCAACTAATTACATGTTTTAATGTGCACTTTATTTGCAAGATTTCAAACAAGCCAGATATGACGGTGTTTAGTCGATCAACAGATAAAAGTCAACAAGTTAGATCATCTTGATCCCTTTTTTCTTTGCACCAGTTTGAAACCCTTCTTTCAGTGCCTTATTTGGAGTCCTGTAGCTCAGTGGTTAGAGCACTCGCTTTGCAAGTGAGAGACCTGGGTTCAATTCCAGGCAGAGGGCGAAACCTTGGGCAAGTTTCCTTACTCCACACAGAGCCTAATAATAATCCCTCCAAAAAAAACCAATAATAAATTGGTCATTTTCAATCAATGACTGTTTGTGGGACACTGCTGTGCGCAATTGGCTGCCGCGTTTGCCCACAAATATACAGTCAATTCACTTTACAGTATATTCTGTGAAGCGCTTTGGGACGTCTAGAAGACGTGAAAAGCGCTATATCAAATGCAAGGATTATTATTATTAAGGATTATTATTATTTGTTCTGAAATTTCATGGTATTAATCTAATTTCATTCTATGACTTTAAAAGTTTTAAAAAAACTACTTGAATACTGATCTCAAGAATAATGCACTATCACTGTTGTGCTGACTGGAAGGTCGGCAACAAGCTGCAAACAAAAATAACTCTTCATTATAAATTGGAAGGTCCCCTTTTCTGAATGTGTCCGCAGAGAGGTGGCAGCCAGCCAACACAGCTAAGTGACAGTCGCTGCTGAAAATGGAGCTTCAACCTCAATGCCACTTCTAGTTTCCATTAGCGTTAAAGAAATATTTGCAATGTCAGATTCCATTAATTATGTACCCTATGCTACAAATATGTCATATTGGAGGTTGAATCCCTACACTTCGTTAACAATACAAGTACAGCATAAAGAAAAAAAGGGGCACTGAATAATGTTAACATTTATTTCACTGCCTTTATGATAATTTTTAAAAGTAAAATTTGTTTATACTAGAGTTATGAAATGATGCTCCTTTGAATAAGTCTAGAATTTATTTTTGTGCATTGTACTAGATATAAAATCGGCTTATTTTCAAAGTAAGTTTTCCTTTTTTATTAAAAAAAAGTACTCAAAGCTTAATTGCCAACATTTTATTTAAAACCTTAAATATCGGCGGTTTATGCCATTAACCTGTAATAATCCTTGAACTAGATATAGCGTTTTTCATGTCAGGTGAACGACTCAAAGCACCTCCAGGATTTACTGCAAAGTGTAGTGACTGCATATTCTGTAAGCATTTACAGTTTATCATATTCCACAATCAAAATTGAATTTTTCTGCTCTCTGGCAAAATCATTTGTAAAAGAAAGACGGCTAGAAATGATTTAGAACACTGCTGGAAATTGAGATAACGGCATCATTTTTCAGGTGGATAATTAGCATTTTTCAGGTCAAATTCCATTTCCCCATTGCGGTAAACTCTGATAATTCATTTCAACCCCTTAGAATGCCCATGTCTTGTAAAATACTTTAAAAAATGTAGCTCATATGTTTTTTTTAAACAGAATTGCATGTGGCTACCTTTGAAATAAAGCCTAGAGGCTGAAGGTTTCCCAGTTTCTGAATCATTAAAGACTGTCAAGAATAAGCAGCAAGGAAATAATTCTTTCAATTTGAATATAATTATATTAAAATATTCTGGGACTGCCAAAAAAAAAGACATTGTGGGGGGGGCATGCTATGACTACAAAAGGAAACCAGCAACAACCAATCAAAGAGAGATCAGACTGTTCCAGGGTGCAAACCCCTCATTGTTCAGCACCTCTGGACATCCTCCTGATGTCAAAGGTGCTATATAAATGCTATGTGTTGTTGTTGCTTCCTAACTTCCCTCTGTTTTAGTAGTACAATACACTGTAGACTTTGCCCTTCTCTTGGATGCGTCAATTAAAAGTAGCCCTTCTGGCTATTATAAGTCTAAGCTCTGCAGAATAATGACAAAAAAATGAAATGGCTCGGCCATTCAGTCAACACACTTACTGCCATCAAAAGAGACTTACATTTATTGAAGAAACTGGTGTACCTAAACTGCTGCAACACAAACGATGGTGGTGTAGATATTGGCAATCCAGCACGTGGAACCCAAGAGCAGTGAAAGAAGGGGCAGTTAGTCCACTTTCTAGTTGCTGACACGGATATACCACCTGTAAAAAAAAATGTGGACAGTTTTTTTTGCATTTATACAAGCAAATAGCACTTACATACAAATGACAGAAGGAAATTAGTTACCAGGAATCAAACTAACATGAAAATTGATGAGACTACAAGAACATGGAACAATGGAATATGATTTAGGTACCACCAGTAACCTGATCCCATAACTCACAAAAAGATCAAACTAAACATTATGATTGATCCCACAAGAGAGATACCATTTCTCACATCTTCTCCCAACATTATTAAATCACTAATTAAGCTGTAAAGAAGTATTTTTTCATAATATGTTCCTTGGGGCTCTGTTCTTGGGCCTCTCCTCTTCAAGATGTACATGCCCCCTCTTGGTGACATCATCCGCAGACATGGGGTCAACTTTCACTTCCACATGTGGATAACATCGAACTCTTAATAATAATAATCCTTGCATTTGATATAGCGCTTTTCACGTCGGGAGGACGTCCCAAAGCGCTTCACAGAATATACTGTAAGTGAATTGACTGTATATTTGTGGGCGAACGCGGCAGCCAATTGCGCACAGCAATGTCCCACAAACAGTTGTGGATTGAAAATGACCAATTGATTATTGTTTTTTTTTTGAGGGATTATTATTAGGCTCTGTGTGGAGTAAGGAAACTTGCCCAAGGTTTCGCCCTGACCTGTCTGGAGTTGAACTCGGGTCTCTCACTTGCAAAGCGAGTGCTCTAACCATTGAGCTACAGGACTCCTCTTATCTCTCTGCCTCCACCCTTGACTCCAGGACCACTGCTGTTCTGACAGAATGGCTGTCAGACATCAAGTCCTGGACGAGAGCTAACTTTCTACAGTTGAACGTCAACAAGACCAATGCCCTCCTGATTGGCTCCGTCAGTGCCTCCACACCTCAGGCACTGGCAGCATCACCATCATAGATGCACACTCCACCTCACTGAGCCAGTCCGTAACCTTGGCGTCTTGTTTGACCCTCAACTATCCTTTCTACTCCACATCCGTGCCTGCCTTCCCCCACCTCCTCAACATCGCCCGGCTCCACTACTGTCTCACCCCTCAGTCTGCCGAAACCCTCATCCAAGTATTTATCACATTTAAGCTCAACTACACCATCCTTGCTTGTTGGTCTTCCCAACTCTACCTCCACAAGCTGCAAATCATCCAGAACTCGCAGCTCATGTCCTCTCCCGCACCAGGCTCCGTTACCCTATCACCCCTACCGTTGCCTGACTCCACAGGCTCTCCATCCCCTAGAGGATAAAGTTAAAAATCCTCATCCGCGCCTTCAAGGCCCTCCACGGCCTTGCCCCCTCCTGCCTCTTTGATTTGCTAACCATATATCAACCTGTCCGTTCCCTCTGCTCAGCAGGCTCTGGCCTGCTCCATGACCCCCGCCCGGCCCGCCCCACCATCGGCGGTCAGGCCTTCAGCCTCTCTGCCTCCACCCTTTGGAACTCTATCCCACAGTCCCTTTGCCTCGCTCCCTCCCCTGCCTCCTTCAAGGCATGTCTCAAGACCCTCCCCTTCGACCATGCCTTCGGACACGCTCCTACTCTCCACCCTCTCTGATCCATCCACCCTGTTCGGGTCCAAATCTCTGACTGTCCAGCGCCTTGGGATGTCCTCCTGACGTGAAAGGTGCTACACAAATTCAATTTTGTATTGTAATTTTGTATTGTATAAAATGTCATTGGAACAACTTGCATTTTTATAGTGCCCTTCACGTCGGACGGCGTCTCGGGAGCGCTTAACATTGGTGGAGCCCGATGCTGAGCCAGAAGCAGGGGGAAGGTGACTGTAGGCGGAGAGAGGGGGGAGGTGAAGCGATTGGGGAAGAGAGTATCATAGCTTTGGAGCGTAGTGGCTGAAAGCACTGCCGCCAATGGTGGGGCGAAGGGTCCAGGGGACAAGGAGGAGGCCAGAGCCAGTCGAGTTGAGGCAGCAGGTAGTAGTGTAGGGAGAGAGCAGGTTGGAGAGATGGGGGGGTGGCAAGGTATGACGGGATTTAAATACAAGAGTGAGGATCTTGAAATCGATCCGCTCTATAACAGGAAGCCAATGCAGTTTGACAAGGACTGGGATAACAACTTAGAATGAACACATTCATATCTCAGCCTTGGAACATTCCAGCTATGTGCTCACCACAGCTGGACTCTTTCTGTTTTTCTATATTGTTAAATGTCAGGAGAAGAAACATAAATGCAACCGTCACTATAGCAGCACAGTGGTAACTTAAAAATCACTTAAAGTGGAGAAAAAAAGCTAAGTACTATATAAGTACTTTGATCAATCCACCAATAAAACAAATAGTCACCAGTGAGCAGAGTTTTGTTAAAAGCAAGATAATGTTATTCACTCTCTACTCCTATTTATGATACTTCAAATACCTGTACTTCAAATACCTGTGTTTTTTTTAAAAAATGAACAGAACTACTCTAATCTGACAATCGTTTCTCATACTGTGATTCTGTAAGGCTTTTACCTTGACAGTGTTTGACAGTGTATAAGATCCTGTTGTGTCCATTAGGGCACAGATTACAACATGCTGATTACACTCTTGTGTTTTCACACACAGTAAAACTCACATAAGTCGTATCAGTCGGGACAATAACAATTAATATGCATTTAATATAACTGTATTATTATTTAATATAACGCAAAGTATGTTTAAATCGTATAAAATCTAATTTAATCAATAATCTACACTGCGCTTATGAACTTCAAGTGCGCAAGTTTTGACATGTCAGACCATTTCCCATGTTATGATTGCGGTAAGTCCGTTACGACTTAGGAGATGATTTGCTTCATAAAATAGGACTAGTGCAATCTAAGAAATCTAAGTGGTAATTGGTAGGAAACTGAATGGAACTCGGGTGCATGTACGATTTAGGTAATTATATGATTTATAAAGGTAAGACTTATGCAAGTTTTACTGTAGATGCTTCTGCAGGTATTAGATGTGTTGGAAAAGCTGTTCTCACCTGCCTAAAGTACTCTACAACTTATATAATAATAATATTAATATTCCTTGCATTTGATATAGCGCTTTTCAGTCTTCTCGGCATCTCAAAGCGCTTCACAGAATAGACTGTAAAGTCTAGACTATAAAACTTGTGTCAAAGCCCTCATTTTCACAATGCCTGTGGCATTTTTTCTACCATATTCATCTGTCACCTTTGACATTGACAAATGTTCTACTCTGCTGAGTTACTGGAGAAGTTTGTTCAGCATGTATTTATTCCTAATTACACTATTCAAACTCTTTCGCCAAGCTGTGCATCTGCTCTAACACAATCAATGTGGGAGAAAGTTCCAGATTTCCACCACCATTTGGGTGAAAAAACTACCTCCTGGTTTCACATTGTGTTACCACAACACAATGCATCAAATAGCCTCTGCTGTAAACTTTTTATGATGCTAACGTGAGGCCCTTCAATACTTGCCCAAGTGCCCAGGGGAGCTATGAGCCCCCATTCTCACGCTACAAAATACAGTTGCTACACTTCACAGAATATTATGTGAAGCACTCTGAGATATATTCCTGATGTGAAATGTGATATTTCACACATCAGAATTATTATTACAGCTCAGTTTAAAGCCTCCCGACCAAAGGAACATTTGACCAGTCAATAAGTACCAGCAGCACTTTTGAAATGTACTGAACATTGTCACACCTGTACCATATGTATCTGTAGGTTCCATGCGCTTCAATTCCACCACAGAATTATCAGCTCATCAATCCTTGGTTAAATAAATATAAAGTGTCATAGCTAGACTGAGAACATGGAAAAGTACGCAACAAAACAAAGGCCAATTAGTCCACCAAAGACAAAGTTTCAGCCCAGCTCAGCTGGTAGCGCTCGTCTGCATCAAAGGTTGTGGGCTCACGTTCCATGTTGGGCTGTGAATTCCCAGTGCAGGCTGACATTCCATTGCAGTGCTAGGGAAGCACTGCGTTGTCGGAGGTGCTGGCCTTCAAATGAGCCTGTTCAAGTGGATGTTAAAGATCCCATTGCACTGGTTGAAAATAGAAAGGAGTCTCTCCCTGCTCCCTAACCAACTTGGGCTAAGGCACAGGGAGAGACCCCAGTCGAGTTGGTGATTTATGGCTGTTTGTGGAACAATGCTGTGTGCAAATTGGTGGCTGCATTTGCTTACAAATTATATAGTCACTGCACTTTACAGTAAATCCTATGGAGTGCTTTGAGATGTTGTCCCAATTTGATAGACGCTATATCAAAGACAAGGATTATTACTGTGATGATTAAAATTCGGCAAAGTATCTGTATCTCCTCCAAAGACAGTTAATTAAAACTTCACAATATTTGCCCAGCAGAAAGTTATGGAGTGCTGGTGCATCTCTGTTTACACAATATTTATAACATTAAAATTCTACTTTTATATTTAGCATTTTTTTAAAAATAAGTGAGAAACCTAGCTGCAAGGCCAAGGCTGAAATTGCAGGCATACTCAGCACACAAAATAACTACTTTTACTGGGAGTATGTTCTAGATATCCATTGTGGGGGGTAAAGTTCTCTCGACCTCTGGTCTCCTCTGAGACTTGTTAATTTTGTAATTATGTTCTCTAGTTCTGCAATCGTATTTCTAATAGTCTGCTACATCTACATTATTTGTCTCTCAATATTTTAAAAGCCTTCATCAGATCCATTTTAATTTTTTTCTAAAAATAAAACACTGCTGCATTGTAGGAACTGCTATGCATTTGAACCACAGCTTGGTAGGGTGGTCCCAGCTGGACAAGGAGCGGGAAAGCCTGTCAGACAGTGATATCAATGGAAAGCTCTGCAGTTATAGGTGATTTGGACTCCAGCAGCACTCCAATGCACACTCTGAAGTCCTCGAGGCTTGTTTCTTGCCAACCTCTGCCTAATACTCTCCAGATTCCAACAATCTATCTCTGCAATTTCCATGTGTATGTGGGATGCATGGAAATCTCAGTTTGGTTTGGATACTTCTAAGCGTGGTGATGGGTTTCC